ACAACAATGCGTATTTTATAAACTAATGAAAACTGAGTATTATCGCCGTATTCTGCAAAGAAGTCTCTTGTCTACGTAGATGGAAACAAAACGGTTTCTGTCAAATGAATGCAGTCAATTTATTTTTCCCTTTTGGTTTCAGATTGTTTTCTTGAAGGAGAACACAAGACAGGTGATTTACAGAGCAGATATGTGCTGTATTATAATTGCTCCATCTGAGGGTAAAGTCGGATCAATGACAACTACACTTGTGATATGCTGCTTTATTTTATCCCTTTTATTTTATTGTATTTTATTAATTTTATATTAATTTTTCATGCTCTTATCTTGTTTTTTTTTGTATTATTCTTTACACTTGTTAAAGCACTTTGTAACTTGTTTTTGAAAAGTGCTCTACAAATAAGGATTATTATTATTATTATTATTATTATTAATTTATCACAAAAAATACATGTTTGGATGTTTGCTAAACTGGACTTCATTAATAAACTGTAATAATAAATAATAATAATAAGTCCAAAAGACGACTACCTCCTTTTTTATCCTCAAACAAAAGACACCCTCCCCTTCACTGTCAACTCTCTCAGGTCCTCTAGCTCAACACTCTCACACCAAACACAAACAGCTTGTACAAATATAGTATTAGATTTCAATGTGAATATATTGCGGAAACATGTAAGAACCGAGAACGGGATTGCCATTCAGCCATGTAAGCACATTACCCAGGCATGTGTTCTATTTATTGCCCATAAGTGTATAGTTTCTTTGTAATTCAGTTTCAGGAAACTGAATGCGAGATGAGAGAATACAGACATGACAACAGCTGCATAGCTGAAAGATCACAAGAGACAGCCGAGCATGAGCTAATATGAGACAAGACACATCTGCCTCTGAGATCTAATGGTCCATGAGGTACAAGTGCATAGAGTTTACTGCACAAACAGGACTGTACTCGGTGAGGAAAGGATTTTAATACGGAGCAAATATTTACAGTACAGATCAGTTTAATCAAAAAATACTGTGGCAAGGTAGGATCATCACACAGCAGCTTTCAACTTAAACTGTGGCTCTAGGGAGGGCAATGTCGGTCTGTTTGTACGGTCAGTCCATCAGACAACAACTATTTGATGGATTGCCATCACATTTTGTACAGGCATTCATGGGGGGCAGAGGATAAACCATAATTACTAGTGTGATGCCTGACTTAATCTCCAGAATTTCACTTTTCTAGTGAAGAATCTCCACATTTACTTGATGGATTGGCTCAGAACTTTGAACAGACTCTCGCAGTTTCCGGAGGATGAATCCGGACTGCACTAGTTGTATGACTCTGGTGATCCCCTGACTTCTCCTCTAACGCCACCATGAGTATTACATTTGTGGTTTTGAGTGAAATGTCTCAAAAAACATTGGATGGATTGACATAAAATGTATTACATTCATATTCCCCTCGGGATGATTTGTAATACCTTTGGAGATCCCTTCAATTTTCATCTATTCTGTTTGTCCGATACTTTGGTTTATGACCAAAAAGCCTACTACTGACGTTTCCATCAGCCTCAACAGTCATTTGTGTTTAGTTCTATTAACAAATGTTAGCTAACATGCTTAACTAAGACAGTCAAAATGGTAATCATTGTTAGCATGTTGACATGAGCATTACACTTCAAGCATTGCTGTGCCAAAGTACAGCCTCATTTGATTCTCTGTGGAATAATGGAAAAAATTCTACTACCATACAGCTAGTGAGCTATTAGCAACTGTATTTGTTTTTCATATTTCTGAGCAATTAAATCCTTTTACTTGAGGTTTGCTGGTTAGCCATGTTTCCTTGGCTCTGTCAATTAAAGTTTTGGTCAACCATTAAGACTATTTCTCTGCAGATCAGCTCTGCGACTGAGAATAGTATTTCACTAATTATTCAATTTGCAGCCTACATATAGAGGGTATGCGTTGATGTACCTTCCCTTCAGGAGCACGCTGGATTGAGTGGCAAAACATCTGTTACCATGGCTGCGTTTAGCAAACCGTGAGTAAAACAACTGATTATTTGCTCAAATTAAAGGCAGTCGGACTTGACAGTGATCCTTACTGCTTACCAAAGAACCAGTAAGTCCAGCTCTTTCCCATTTTATATGTGTTGTTTGTGTTTTAGCTGATTCAAGCTAATACTGCTGCTCGTCTTTCTGCCACTAGGCGTAACTGCGTTCTGTGACGTCACGCGCATACCCTCTATTGTACTAGAGCCTAACCTTTTACCTTTCATACACACATTCACCACTTTATAGCGCTATGTTACAACCCATTAAGCTCCGTACCACTGCATATATTTTAGACATGGGTGGCCATAGTGGCAATTAAAACCATGGCAGTGCTACTGTTAGCATTATGCTCCAACCATCAAGTAGATGCACATATCAGCATTGTTTTAATAAAGGTTATTTCTTCCGGGTGAGAATACTACAAGTAGACTTCAAACGCCTCGCAGTCCACTCGCCTGGCTGCACAGTTTAAAAGCTCGACATGGTGTGTGGGACAATGGCGGCTCTCGAAAGCATTGTGGTAATCGGGGCCAATGGAATTTTCCCTGCATCATTAAAAAGGGATTGGTCTGTCCACTGTGTTCATGGGAAGTGCTGTTAGTTAACCCAACAAAGGTGCTCTGGCTGTGGACCCCCAGAGATGAAGGGCATCACAGGGGCTCAGTGAATCCACCTCTAATCCTCTCTGCCCCATTGTACCGATACACTCTAAACCCTTTGACCACTTCCCGCTCTAATCTCTGCAGATTTGGGTGAGTTAAACAATTTTGCGATCCGTAGGGCCCACAATTTCCCTCCCTCTCCTCCCCTTCTTCTGCTCTCTTTGCTGTGGTGACAAGTTTAGTTACAGCAACTGATCTCAGCTGAGAGTTAGTGTAAAACCAGTATTACACTAGTATACAAATTGAGAATGGCTTCAGCTTGAGCTGAAGCAAGTAGTTGATTAATCAATTAGTCAATTTGTTGGTTGCAACTTCTCCAATGTGAAGATTTGCTGCTTTTCTTTATCTAATGTGATGATGAGAAAACTGAATATTTATGGGGCTTTGGACTGTTGGTTGGACAAAATGAGCAATTTGAAGGCATCCCATTGGACTTCACAAAATTATGAGATTACATTTTTCTCTATGTCCTGACATTTTATAGACAAACAATAGACAAACAATGAATCAAACAATTAATTGATTAATTGTTAGTTGTTGCCTTAGTTTCAACAGAATAAACAGTTCGAATTCATTTGGTTAAGAACTAAATATGCTTTGAACTGAAGTGAATTATAAAAGACACTTTTGCAGAGGATGACAGGGTACTCTTGGTTGTTTAAACATTAAAAAGTGATCTTGTGACTTAAATACTGAATGAAACAGGAGTCTTTTTTTTAGATTATTTGTTTTGTCCAACCAAAGACATCCAGTTTACAATAATATAAATCAGGGAAAAGCAGCAAATCCTCACATTGGAGAAGCTGCAACCAGGGAATGGTTGGCCTTTTTGCTAGAGAAATTATTATTGAATTATTATTGAATAAATCAAAGTAGTTTCTATTCTTCGATTAATCAACTGATTGTTTCAGCTCTAATGTGCATAGACTTGAAGTGTCTAACATGGAATTAAGACTTAAAAATGTAAAAATATTCAACATTATTCAACATTTTACATTAATATTAATGTACATAATTAGGTTTTCTGGTGTCTCTAGCTCTATGGACACTTTCTTTTCAGTCCCACCACTTCCACTATGTCAAGAGGACATTGTGTATATGTGTGTGAACACATGAATGCCTAGCTGCTGGAAGGAGGGGGTGGAGATTTTAGGTTAGTAATAGCAGACTGCATTCAGAGACCTGGTGGTCGTGACAAAGCACTTGACAGGCCGCAAGACACCCCCTAATTTCGCGTTGACCCTGGCTTGTTTAGCATTC